CTGGGCCTACATACAAGAAGAAGCATCCATTTTCAATCGCATTTTTCGCGTGGCTGAAAACATGAGCTTCCGCAAGCCTTCCGCGAAGAAACGCTTCCGTGGAGCTTCCGCGTCCTTCCGCGCGCACAGGAAAACCTAGTTTTCGGACCATGATTTGGTGAGTTTCTGTGCTGCGCACTTATCATATTTATAATTGATCTACCGTCAAAAAAACCGCCGCTCACATGATTCTCACAGCATTTGCTTCCAAAATGACAAGTCCTCCTGAACTCACCGACGTGAAACCTGAGCGCTAGGAGGGATGTCTTGAACCATGCTTGAAGGCCAGCCATGCATTGAGAGCATTGAGCTGGCAACAGACTCTGAAGCAGTCCGTTCATGTAGCCTGTGCCAGAGGATCGATGCGTGAAAGGCAAGCTCGGATCACATTAGACAGGCGGCAAGTTGCACCATGATTCTTCAGGCCAGTGAATCCTGTTTCCTGCGAGCACGTTACTCAAGTCCCGCACAAGGAAAAATGTGCGGAGTCCGTCCTTCTTACAGCTGTAATCATTGGTCAAGTTCAGCTGGTCAGCAGATCGCACATAGCCTTGTCTTTGCATGCGCAGCAATCTTGATGCGGCATGATACCACTCTGAGCCAGCTGCATGATGCCCGGAAGAGGAGCGTGTTGTCAGGCCCTACCCTCAAACGAAATAGGTGTCTCAGAACACAGCTCCGTGCTGGGGTCATGTTTTGGATACGTTGAGGTATCAGCCATCCAGTTTCAGGAATCAGCTCCGAAACTCTGACCTCGTGCTGTACAGCGCGGCGTCTCTCACGGGACACTACCGCAGCAAGACTCACAGCTGTAAGGTCAATAGCCATGTCGTGCCAACCACGGTCGATGCCATCTCTGGAAAACGACCAGATGTCGGACTGCGCCAAAAGGAGTTCGCTCTTTGGCTCTTTGCATAGTATGCATCGCTGAGTACCGTATGGTATGAAGATGTCTGAAGAGATCTGAACCATGGGATGTTCTTGGCATTTGTACTTCTGGGAGGGTGGCTTTGTGGTTCATCCACCTTGGGCTTCCAGGAGCACATGGCCAGCGTCCAAAAACTAGTGCCCACTCTCATCTATACAAAGCTCAAAGCGAATGCGGCAGAGTGCGTGAATAAAACATTCGGTGTATCTCAACCTCACACAGGTCAAGATGATGGCGCTACAACATGAATTAGAAACTTCTCTGACTCTCAACTGAATAGTGTATGCTCTTCAACCTCCATGCCGGCGGGTGACCGCGATTGACTGTTGCTACACGTGAATTGCCTATACTTGCCCTTACACGACTGCAGTCCATGATGGACTGCGCACAGGCTGATGTACAACTTTAAATAGCAACTCACTATCAATGAGAACTAGCATGATTGCATGTGGGAAGCCATTAAATGTATGGGCATGAAGTCCTAGCGGTGAAATGAGTGAAATGAACACCTGCTGGTTGGCACATGTTGGCACTGCAACTGATCAGCCTTGGTGACACTCCTCCTGTAATCTGTCCAATTTACCAGCGTGATCTGGTATTTCACGCCATGGAAGCACCACCTGCATTCAAGCCGTACATACTGCAATCACACTGACACTGCATCAGATGAGTTTGTGCCTTGGGTCAAGCGTCTCCAGTGGGTCTGCCTCAACGAATGCTGATACCTGCATGCACGGCCACACCTGTTGCTGGCAATGCAGCATTCGCATGCAATAGCTGCTTTGCTTTGCACCCTTGCCTGCTGCCCCCCAGCAGTCTGAGTTCCGCAAGGAAATATCAGCAACCTGTACAGTGCTTTCGCTGATGTTTCTTGCATGTCATACCGGGACGTGCTGGAGCCCTTCAACAAAAGCAAATGCAAAGGGATCATCCGGCGATGTCCGGCCATGCAATCAACTTGACTGCGAGCATTTTTGCACCAAGCAATCCTAGACCTATGTACAAGCCCATGGTGGATTTCCAGACATCAACTCAACAGGCACGGGCATTCTTGGGCCTGAAGCGGAAGTTCCCAACAGTCTTGGACTCTGATCTGACCTCAAGTCAGTCATAGAGTCATACTCAGCCAGGTTTGAATTCTGCTGCGCATCAGCATCGTTGAAGCGTACCGGCTTTGCTACTTTGAGACCGGGTTCTCTGCTGAAGCCCCGAAAGCGTATTTCAGGCAATCCTGAACGGTCACATTCACATTTGCCCACCGCATTCCACAACGCTGTATTGCTCACAAGAATCCCCCTCCACGTTCTGACTCACCCCGTCACATTATACACCATTAAACGGGCGGGGGGGAGGGGGGGGGNNCGGGGGGGGGGGGCGTCAGCTCACAAGAACCTTTAAAAGGACAACAAATATAAAATGGGGAGGATACCATGGCCAACGTTTTCTTTTTAAAATGGGGCGGGGGCGACGTCAATGTATAAGAAAAACTGTTGTTACTCTTGTATTGCTCTTGACACAAAGAAATAATAAATCAAAGACAGACATATAAAGCGCTGAAAGAACAATAAGGAAGCATGCCCATAAGCAGTACAAATACAACGTGTATACACATAAAAAACATAAATATAAGCTCACCCCACCCCCACCCCCCCCCCGATCCACCGAACAAACATTTTTTGTTAAAATCGTATTTCAGTTCAAGTCATGTACA